ATGAGAATTACAAGTCACAGGAAGGATGAAAATTCTAGGCTTTATATTCAAATCATTACTGTCACCATTTCCTTCATCAACCTCACATACAGATTAGCTCAAAAGCCAATACACTAAAAGGTATATCTCATGCACTGGGTATATCTTATGCACTATGAGAAATAAGCAGTTTACACCAACACATCCATCTCGGTCTTAAGTATCTACCACTGAGAAGATCTCAATAAGTTATATACAATCACTGTGGGTTACAAAAACTGAGATGTCACCACAAGTAAAACTGAGATGAAATCAGTTTTAAAAAGGAATACGTACACTGAGCTTGAAAACCTCTTTACAAATCCATGTTTCATCTACCTAACATGTCCCATATTTCATCTACCTAATCCAGCTGCACATAAGGATTCTCTAGCTGCTTTTCACTACTCTGTCTTCATTAAGATTCCCAGGCGGCATAGTGAGGTTGTGGTTGCTATGTGTGACTCACTTCCAGCCTTCAGCTGGTATGCCAGAGATTTTTACCTATTAAAATAGAGCCAGGGATGTAAATTAGAAGAACTCAGGTATCACTCTGAGTTGGACCCATCAGGTATAAAACACGTTAAGATTTTTCAGACCTCAGGTGATTCCTGAGGAAGGCTGACTATAGCTCTGGGACCTATAATGAGGAAAAAAATATTGCTCTTGTCTGGGATCTTGTCCTTTTTGTCTCACAGAACAGAGTTTCTGCATGAATAGGCAAATTTGGTGGAATATGCAAAATCCCCTTGATCACCAAGAAAAGCATTGACTCATCACCACTGCTTTTATTCACCCCCATCAGACATGACTGAATTTGCAGGTACTCGATGAATTTTTACTATGCAGTTACGGATTTTGCCAAGTCATATTGCACATACTACCTACATATCTTTTAATGAATAACTGGTGCTTTGTGTAGACGTGAAATTTCCCTTATATGAAACTCTTTACAGGTTCATGGCCTAGATGAGTTTCCATCTGCTTTATCTCTATCCTATCAACATTAACTTTGAGATCTGGTAAAACAAAGTTGGTAGCAGGTTAAGTACCCTGAGCATAATGCTTTTCATTATGAAGTACAACTGTATTTAGACACTTGAACTCCTTGTTGGCAGCAAGCCTCTTATCTTCAGTAAGGGAAAAGCTAGGCCTAGAAATGTAGCTTTTGCTTATAACTGAAAATAAAAATTCAATTTCAGAGAGAGACACATTAATAAAAGTTAGCTCTTGTCTGCATAGAAGCACAGCCTTTAGGAAAATGTCAATAGTTAGTGGCCATAATATCTAAAAATGCACGACAGCATCAGGTTAACTGCACTGTACTGCAAATGCTGGCAGAATGGGATTACATGAAGTGATGGCACTTTTTTCCCTCTTCCAGGCAAATCATGCAGTAATAACTGCCTATAATTAATAAGTCAATAACTGATGAAGCCACAAGACAGATGTCTTTGAATCTAAGTAGTTCTGGACCTTCATTCAGAAAGCAATATGTCCCCACACCTCATACTGAAGCTACACCAAGGGTATGATTTGCAGAACTGGTGAGAATTAATCTGTCAAACACCAGCTCCTCTCTTTTTCACTCTAAAGGCTACAAGAAGAAAGTGAGAGGAGTCACCACTCAGCCCTCTTCCTTGTAGTTATGGTGCCTCAGAAACCAAGATAGGGGTACATATAGTCAGAAGTGATAAAGCTATACAAAAAGTGTCAGCTCTTTTACACTTGGATATAATTTGTATGAAGATGCAAGGAAAAAGAATTTTTTTTTAATTGTCAATTTAGGATATAAAGTGTGTCATATTAGAATTTAAATCAAATACCTGTGGGTTTTTTTACTATAACTGCATAGTATTTATTGCAGTTTTTAATTATACTTGCTGCATTTTAAACACAGCTGTGTTCTCAGAGTCTAAAAACACTAGAAATGGTCACCATTAATTTCCTGAACCACAAGCCTACAAGATATTAAAGCCCAAGGATGCTCCACCTTTCTATGTAATGAAAAAAGGAAAAGGTTTTGAAATCCTCTTCTGATTTTAAGAAAAATACAGACATAGAATCACTGTATTTTAATAACTGAGGTTTTTGTGCATCACATTAATTGTCCATTACAGACAAATAATTACTTAGTTTATTTCCATGTGTATTCAGTAATCAGATAAAATGTACGCTAAATAAATACCTGGAGTTAGCCTACATTACTTTCACCATCTCTCCACCAGTCTGAGATATTTTTTTCCTATCCTGTAATCTAATAAGCTATATATGTAGTTCTGGTAGAATAGATTACATTGCTATTTTAAAATCACCAAGCATCATAGTTAAATCAGCAGGAAAATAACTTAATGAACCTTAATCATCATAATTGTATTGGTTATAAAAGATATTTTTCTCCTGCAGATAGTTTGAAAAAAATTATTCTTTAGCATTTGCTAAATTAAAAAATTCAATTATTTCACAACTGAACTTTATTATGATATAATAACATTTCAACTAATATGTAAATGTATGCCTATCAAGGAGGTACTTTAATTGCATATATAGTCTAACATAAGAACTCAGTTTCTTTTTACAAGTATACTTTAGCTGATTTAATTATTTAGTCCTCTAATTACACAGTCCATACCAATCAACCCAAATGAACCACTTCTGTAATCTTAATTTCACATGTCAAATCACTGAATACATTTTTGCATGATTCTCATGTTAACCAGAAAGCCAGGTATTGATTGAATGACAGTAAGTACATGAGGTTAGGAGAAAAATACAAGAACGCTTTCATGTAGGGTAATGGCAGTCCCTGCTGATTCCCTTTTCCCCGGATCTTCTTTTTCACCACTGCTCGAGATAAGAGAAATAGCAGTATTTAGTTGGCTTTAACAGAACATTTTCATATTTTGAATTTTGCCCAGACTTTTTGGATTTTTCTTTCACCCCTGTCCCACACCTGTAGCACACATTTACATCATTCGTTTGGGATAGGTGTGGCTAACTACATGGCTGAGATCAGGAAGGACTTCCATTATTCTTGCGGGGGCCAGTATGGCAAGAAGTCTTACTTTTCTGGCTTTGGGTTGTGCATCTTAAACACATCCCAAACATTGTCCCATCGAACATGGGCTGTTGTGTTGTGCAGCAGGGAAGATTCACAGGTTCACTTTAGGAAATTAAAATGGTTTTTATTTGCAGCTCATGGTGGTGAATATAAAGTAACAGCAGAGGCTCCAAGAGCCGCCTCCTGGGGGCAAAGAAGAGACAAGGTTTTACCAGTGAGCCCTGAGGCTACAGAAAGGTGATGTGACATCTTCTTTCTGGCTTGATGGTTCCCTGTCCCAGCCCCAGGGAAGAAAACCTGAAAGGTAACCAAAGATGGGTTGCCCCAACTGTTTTTGTTATATCTCCTTAACTCACATTAGAAAAAAATATGTGATGTCCATAATAAGAGAATGGGAGAAAATGCATGGGCACTTGGCCTTCCTCCTACCCTAGACTATTTTATGTATTTGCAATCCATCACTTAAATGCCATTATTTTATATATAGAATCATAGAATCAACCAGGTTGAGGTAGTCCTACTCAGTTGTATGAAAACTGAACAGCAGACAACTTTAAAACATTTAAATATTGTTCCCTGCACTTAGTTTAAATGTAGCATTCATATATTTAAGGCAGAAAGAAAAAAAAATGCTTTTTTACAGCCACAACAATATAAGTATCAATGAGTCAGGCAGGACTTGCCCTAAGCAGTTATAACAAACTGAAATTTATCCAAATTGCATTATTTTAATTCGCTTTTCATAATAAGTGATTTTATGAAGTGTAAAATCATTTTCTTACAGAAGAAAAAACAAAAATAATGCAGTCCACAATCTCAGTCTCGAAGTGAATTGAAATTATATACAGTATTCATAAAATCACAACGATTTTATAATAGAATTCTGGTGCTATTGCTGTTGCAAAAACTACATTAATTTACATTGTTTGCTAATCTTCAGAAATTTTTTTTATACTGTTATTAGCCAGGACTGTGAGCCTTTCTTCAAACAAAGCAGATGAGTGTGAAGAACCACATCTCACTTTAATCCACTAGAGGGTGGCCTGCCTCAGTCAGGGCTGGAGTACTGAATTCATGCAAGATATCTAACATTTTCTTCCTTTTGACCTGTTGAGAGCCAACACTTTGTATTTCACTATTCTTCATCTTATATTACAAAGAAAATTCCTTTATATAAAACATTACATATGATTAAAAAAAAACCTTTCCTAAGTGCATCCATTTCATTTATTGTTTTGCATATCTGGAAGAAGGGATGATGCATTTCAGTGTATAGTTCCCTTGAACTGAGAAAAAAAAAAAATCATAGATTATTTTACAGTTTCTAAAACCTTCATATTTTGTATGCCTTTTGTTCACAGATACAGGATAAATGCGGGGGGGGGGTATTCTTCAGCAAAGAGTATGGCACAAAGGGAGAAAAGAGAAAGAAAGGGAGAAGGAAATCTGTGCAGCTTATTGTTTATATAATTAGATGGCCATAAAGCAGTCAAGTACACAGAAACTGAAATAAACTGATTTTATTTGACCAAGTTCCTTCCTCAATTTATTCTAAATTTTTATTTGTCTGGGAGATATAATATCACTCTTACTTTCCACCGATAAACATAAAAAATAAAATTTAATATTTGATAAAATCTGGAAAAGGAGTAGTATGAAAAATAACTTTCTTAAGAATAAAAGAAAAAAAAAAATGCACCAAAACAGGGGGCAGGAAGCACAAGACATTTTTCCTGAATGGTTTCAACATTCAGTATCCTCTGAACTACAGCAGCCTTTGCAGAACTTCAGTGATCTCTAATAAGTTGTTGCGAGCACAGATAACATCCTTATGCAGCCTTAAAAAAGGGGGGGGTAAAACCTCCCGAGCTGTTCTGTACAAACACAATGCATGCCCTGTAACTCCCACAAATCGGAAGAGATATCTGGAAGCATGCAAAGGCTTGTTTCGTGTATCCGTACCCAAAGCAGCAGTGTCACGTAACAGACAGCTTCCCACGGCCAACCAGGCTGGCGCAGCCGCGTGTACTACGTGGCATCTGGGCACGCCAAAGCATTGGCTCCTCTCTGGGGAGTGGAAGGGGCTCAGTTATTAATGACCGCTGAGAAGGCAGCACCATGTCAGTGTGACAATCGAGTGGGTGAACGATGCACCGCTAACCACCATGGAAACAAGGAGAAATAGGAACAGCTAGCAAGCATCTCTCTTTCTCTCCCCCTCTCTCTCTCCTCTGGATCGCAAGCCTCAGCCCAGCCAGGCAGCAACAGCGCTCTGGCAAACATAAGGGATCTCAGCTGGCAGCACAGAGAGTCTCTCATGGTGTAGGATATCAATAGATACATCTTTGTATTATATACTGTTAGACACACGCATGCACGCTGACTCTCTCACACACATGTATGCATATTTATTCAGACTCTGGCTTTAATACAAGTATGTGGCTACCTGAACTAAGGAATCAAAATTACTGATATGCAAGAACTCCTCCAGCTCTGAAACTACTCCAATTACAGGGTAAGTTATTTTCAATTTTATCCTGTCTTTTATCTTAACATGTAAACTCTTTCCCTTTTATTCTTTTTGTAGTTATTTTATTATTTTCACATTTAACTTTCTGAATGGAAATGCAAATTAGAGATAATCTGAATATTCTTGCAAGAGTGCCAGAGTTGTGCATTTTTTAGCTTGAAAGAACATCAAAGAATAAAAGAATTATAAATGGAGAACGTTTCCCCTGATGTTTCAGATGCAAAATTAAATTACATAGTTGCTCTGTGTTTTGAAACCAATAAAACAAGATACAGGACAGCCTCCTTTCTTCTCTCCAGTGCTAGGATTAAGGGGAATGCTGTTTATGTCAGGACCTAAAGACCACTGAGCAGCAAGGCTGAATGAGCATATCACAAACAGTTATTGAATTTCTGCCAGGCTACATCTTAAGGATTGTGGCAAATGACTTTGCTTAAAAACATCCCTTTTCCAGTCAGAAGGGACAGTGTGAATGCCTGATTACCGATGCAGCTCGAACTGACGCGTTTGGTAAAAAGGATCGCATTAAGCAGAAGAGTTCTAATCTTCTCTGGTAATTAACAGGATCACAGCAGGGTGCCTCTAAAGTATATTTTAATCTAAGGAGACTGTTCAAATCCATCACTATAAAAGCTTTGCCTGTTTTAGTATAGGAAGGCTCAGAACTGTTTGTCTTTGCTTTCCATGTCTTTGTTTTCATGTGTCTAGTTGGAGTTTTTGCCCAGCACTGCTGTTCAGAAAGAGATGAAACCAACATAGGGGGATGGAGGGGGCAGTAAATGTAGGGTGCTAGAAAAAAGACAGTAATTTTCGATTTAACCAATCTATGCAACCAAAAATTCCATACTAGCACTACTCTTGCCTAATGTGTTTGTGTTTATGCATGTGTATGTCATTTCCTTCATGCAGTATGAGAGTACCTCAGTATCCCTTCAGATGAAAACACATTCAGTAAAGTCCATCAGCATGGATCTGTGATTCATGCATCAGAGAATGCCAGAGAGAGAAATTTTACTTTACACCATGAAAAGACAGGTTAGCCATCTAATGCATGCTTCAAAGTGAAAACATACAACCTGCATCTTCCTGCATGCTTTTGTTTCCTTTTTAGAGTACTATTTCTATACTAAAAACAGCTCAGTATTTAGATTATTTCCCCTACTCTTCTTCCTCCCCCTCACTCCTGTACCCCTTAGAGATCTGTTCCTTTGCAGCAAAGCAATTATTTGCTTGTAATTTTAGAATTAGTATGTTTTGGGAAACAAACACTGTGAAACAACCATCAACAGATAGCCAATGGCTGTAAGCCTGCCACCTTTCCATAAATGTCAGGCAATGGGTAGTTTAACAATATGTATGGTAAGAAGTCAATTAATTCAGGTGACCTTTGTAAATGGTGACAATAAAGTAGCTCTGACAATACACCACAGCATTCATTATTCCCTCTGGAAAATGAATGAGCTTAAGAAGAGGTTTCCTTTTCAGAGTACAAAATGAAAGGTATTGAAGCATTAGCTCCTGCTATTGGCAAGCTTGCTTCCTCTAATTCAGATTGTCTATGAAATCCGTTTTGAGCAAGCTGGCTTATTTTACTATGTGAACCATAACCTCTTGTTCAATTAATTAAATATCCTGTTCTCACACACATTGCATGTGCATTTTAGTTGTTAAAACAAGAAACTCAAGCTACTGCGTTAGATTTTTTATTTTCTACAATAAGAAGAGAGAAAACCTGATTCTCAGCTCTTCATGTTATATGCAAAGGACTACTCAGATGAAACTTTTTTCTGTATACCACGGCACATGCTCAGCTTTTCTGAATCTTTATCCTTACTTATTTGTAATGTAAAAATTAAGCAACTATTAGTAACTTTATATCAGGTTTTACCACATATACTTTAATGCAGTACTTTAAAATATTATGCAGTTATTCCAAAGAGTTTCAGAAAAATGTGGTCATTCCAGTCATACATGCTCAGATCAAATATGCATCATCTGAGTACACAGCATAGACATTCTTAACCAGCAAAGCAGTCAAAATGTATGGTGATCGTATTTTGGTTAATACTACCTCAAAGCTCCTGCAATAATGTTGTAGTGTCAGACAATGACTGGCTGATGTTGTTATGGCAACCCCAAAGTACCGCCTTTCAGGGTGGTACATCTGAGCATGACATCACAGCATGCCCGTTTGGAGTACCCAGAAGTGGGTGAGTATTCCTCTCTTGCACCAGAATGAGACCAGATCAAGCAGGCAACAGTGCTGTCTCTAACACAGATAAAAAATATAACCTATAATCTTTGTTAACTGATCAAGAATGAGCAGCTTACGAAAATACATCCTGCAAATCACTTGTGATCATTTGTCCATCGAACAGTAGAGGACAAAACCACTTTTGCAAGTAAAAGCAAACCAGTTAGCAGTGTTGAAGCCATTTTCATTGACTCTTACCCCTAATCTTTATTGTATTAATAGATTCTACAAGCAAACCAAAAGCTTTGCTGTTTGGCAACAACCACTCTAACTTTAAATGGTTGAGGTTTAATAGCCACATTTTAGAACTCCTAAAGCAATAGAAGAAGATAAGCAGTAGAAAACAGAGCTTTTCAAAACAAGCTCTATCTCACTTCTGAAAGAAAAGTCACCATAGAGAAACAATTAAACCCGCTTTTAGTGAGTTATGGTACATCAACCTTTTCCTTAATTCAAATAGCCTTCTTTCAGATAGTACCATTAAAAGCTGAAGAAAAACAAAACTCTTGAGAAACATTATCATAAACTACCTTAGCAAACTCTTCCACTTTAAAGTCCACAAACCCTACTTAACATCAACTAGCAAAAACTGACAGTGGAAAACTAATTTCTCACACATAGAACTCAAGGAACTATTTTCTGAAGACCAAAAAACCACAAAGAGATTCTAAAGCTTTCTGAAGATCAAAAAATGCACAGCTTCTAAAATTTTTATTTCTTTTTAACAGAAGTCTTCAAGCCCTTACACTACTCTAAAAAAAAGAATATTAATTTTCATCCTTACAAAACACAAGCAATTAAAATCCTTTTTTTTACAGAAGGGAAAATGCCAGTAGAATTAGAAAATAAATAGTAGTGACAGATGTCATTAGAAAGGTCATTAGACACATTAGTATTAAGAGAAAAATCAATAATCCTCATTACAACTCTCATGTAACTGTAAAAAAATAATTAGTGTCTTTTACTTATTTGACTGACCAGTCCACAAACTGTTAAATGTTGTTATTGTGAAATGACATTCATACAGAACTTTCCTTAATATTCTTGATGCCAAAAACTTCATATAAGCAAACAGCATGACCTTCAGTGTTATACACAAAATCTACAAATGATGTCATCAATGTTTCCACAATAAATCTCAGCTAACCTGAACTGATAAAGTTTTATTAGCACAGCACATGGAGCTACACTCCTCTGCACCAGAGAAATATACAATGGATGTCAATAAGATAATTCTACTTTGGGTTCTGTTTGGAATAGCTGAGTATGCCACCAGGCGCGAAACAGCATTTTTATGCAGATGAAATACAAACAACTTTCACAACTTTGCTTGATCCAATTACACTCAGCCAAAAGGATCTCCCTGTTCTTTATAAATGTAAGATGATACTGTATAATAATCAACCATAATAAAAATAATAGCAAAGAGAAAAAAAAAAGATAGTCAACCATTCAGCTGGACAGGGTGCTGGGCCATCTGGTCTAGGACATGCTTTGCCAAGAAAGGTTGGACCAGATGATCCTGGAAGTCCCTTCCAACCTGGGATTCTATAATCATATGTGCACATTTTCTTCTCTCAGTATTTAAAGACATGTTGTAGTCATATGAGCCAAAGAAAATATCATTTGACAAATAGGATTATATTTATTATGCTCATTCACTTCTAGTATGCTTTCATAGCTTTAATTTGCAAACTGCTTGGAAGAGTAAACTACAGATAAGCTCTTACCCATAGCATTCCCAAACCTTAATGGTTTTCTGCACAGCACAAACAAATGCAAAGTCATTAAAATGAAGGGAAAGTTGAATTACATAAACACAAATTTATACATCATATCTTTGAAACAATTATTCTTTGTTTAGAAATATTTCTTCTTCACAAAAGATTTAATCTATTTCAGCTTGCCTATTTGCTTTAACTGCTTGGCCACAAGCAGCAATGCTCTAATTCAAAGGAAATAAGACATCTGTATTCCCATTATGTCTATTCATCTGTATTTCTGGAATTCATTAAAATATCTGCCCCAAATTTAATGGTAGCTTAACTCTACTGACCTCTGAATTAGAGCAGAAAAGAATTTTTGCTTTTTCTGCTCTCAACTCCCAGTCAAACTCTGAAATGCTTTTTGAGAACACTGGCACAAAAGAAACCATTTAGCAGTTTCCTTTCCTGCATAAGCATCTGTATTTAGAGGTAAACACTGCAAAGATTAATTAAATGCTACAGGGAGCATTTTTTTAAGTATCTACTGATTATTAGTATTACCCCAAGAGTCTTTTAACTACAGGGTTCTTGTCATGCTAATAACAACTCTGCCAGGAAATAGTTTAAAGTCTCTAAAACATTTGGTATAAGAAAGGTAAAAATCTTAAGCTTAGCTGTACCAAAAAGTCCCCAGACATCCAGCTACCAGTATGAGAAAAAAAAAAAAAAGAATAAAAAGGACTTTTTTTTTAAACAATTCTATGTCTAGGGAATCAGACAATTTCAGAAATTACTTGTTGAATAAATTACAGAATAATAAACCAGAGTAAACATCAGGTAATAGAACATATAACAAAGAGCAAAGTTGTGCGCTGAGACAATTTTAAAATCACCATAGAACTGCCATCATTCTGGATAGTATTTAGAAAAGTAGTGTGACGGTCAGACATTACTAGGGCCTTTCCAGTGGGGTCTTGAGAGGTTAGAGAAATGATAGCTGATAATTGGGTTGGTTAGCTTTGTCA